TCCCAAATAGGAAATAATAAAATATTACTAAGTGCCATAATACTCACAATACCAACCCAACTACAAATGTTAAACTTCTATTTTTTTACAATAAAGTTGAGAAAGTTTATTAAAAAAAAAAAAAAAACCAGCCACACCAGACTTGGTTAATTTTTCAATACGAAAGCCTCTGGAGCCACCTGGTGGTCACACAGAGCAACAGCCATGCGGAGCGGCTTTCTTGCTTTAATGGGGAAAAGACACTACGCGCTCTCTCTCTCTCTCTGGTAGAAACAGGACACTAAGTTTACTGTTTCCCACAAGCACGCCGCTGTACCTTTTTACTGAATTATCCCAACTAACCAATCTCCCTGCATAGCTCCCTGGGTTCTTAAGGATTCCGCCGCTGCCAGCTGCAAGGAAAAAGCATTTCCATGATTGGCGCACAAACTGTGCTGAGCTCCTGTCTCTTTCCCCTTATATTCCTCTCTCTGCCCAACCATATCACGTCTGTCTCCACCTGCTTAGTGCTGGAATTAAAGGCACGGGATCCCAAGTGCTGGGATCACCTTTATGTAAGCAAGCTCTGTCTCCTTTAGACAGATTCGACCCTGTGCAGCCCAAGGTGGCCTTGAACTCAGAGTTCCCTCTGCCTTTGTCTCCCAAATTCTGGGATTAAAGGTGTGTGCCACCACTCCCTGGCCTCTAGTGGCTTAGCTCTGCACTCTGATCTTCAGGCAAGCTTTATTTGTTAAAACACAAACAGAATATCACTACACACAGTAGGTCTGGGGGGAGAACCCTATGGTGTTTAGAATAGTAACTCCTTGACACAAACACAGTATTTCTTCTGAGTTTAAAACATCCCCTCTCTGTTACGTTATTTCTAACCACATAAATTCCAAGTTACAGGGATACATCTATGAATGTGGGCCCTCAATCCTTTTCCTATTATCTAATTCTTGCTTCTAAGTAATATATTATTGCCAGTGAATTCAACCAACGGCAAGCCTGGCCTCTCTGCTTCATCCACATAAATGATTATGTATTCACCAAAGGCAGCAAGCAAATCTTCATTTTAGTAATTTCAAAGTTTATCCTTTTCGTACCAGCTAAACGGTCTTGACCTCGTGAGTTCTGAACTCAGTCATGGCCGACCTCACTCAGCACAGCTTGGGTGTTTCCCAGCTGACACTTCTTTCTTTGAGTCCCCGGGAAGCTGTGCTTTATCCCAGCCTTGTTCACCTCGCTCCACTGCCCTCTTCTCCTTCCATCTGGAATCCCTGTCTCATCACATTCTTGTAGTGATAGGAGTGGCAGGGCTGCGTCCCCGGCACCCGGCCGCCCGCATGGCTAGCTTATGCCCAAAATAATTACACGCAAACTGTATTCTTTTAAACACTGCCTGACCCATTAGTTCCAGCCTCTTATTGGCTAGCTCTTACATATTGTTCTAACCCATTTCTAATATTCTGTGTAGCCCATGAGGTGGCTTACCAGGGAGGATCTTAACCTGTGTCTGTCTGGAGTGGGAGAATCATGGCGACTCCTGACTCAGCTTCTTTTTCCCAGCATCCTGTTCTGTTTTCTACACCTACCTAAGGGTTGGCCTATCAAATGGGCCTAGGCAGTTTCTTTATTAGTAAGAAATCACTCCCACATCACGTTCTTATCCTAAGCCTGGTATTCCACTGCTGCCCCGACCATTTGCCTCCCTGTCCTTTATTATTTACTGGGAACCATGATGGATATTCATTCTGTCCTTCCCTGGCTTCCCATCAACATCAAAAGGAATGAGTGGAGAAGCAGAGTACCTCCATATTGTTTCCTTGTTAATAAGTCTGTCCAGGGTTTGACCGTGCTCCTAGCCATGTGTTCATTACCACATACTTATAAATACATACATTTGTACAATCATTGGCTAGTATCTCCACATATGCAGTGGACTATGTCCTTAGTATGCTGGACACACACCCACATTAACTGGCTTTTGAATGACTTTCAAAAAACTATAATGAAGCTGATAGAAAGATTGTACTTGGAGTAAAATAAAACATGCTGTCCTGCTGCCCTCTTTCTGTTTGCCTGCGCTTTTATTACAGAGGTTTGTCTCCCAAGTACAAAGTCTTTGCAGGAACCAGAGTTGCATTTACAGGTTTTAGCACAACACTGCATATAACACAGCATTCTTAGTAAGTACTTATTACTAAGTATGTGTTAGTATTCAAGCATCTGTACTGGCCTGTCCTTAGGGTCCTGAGAGACTACGTACTCAGCTCCACCTCCTGTGCAAATTCACTATGTTCCCTTTTAAAAGGTGGGCCTTGTCCATCTCCTGTCTCTTTCTCTCTGTCTCTCTGTCTCTCAGCTTCTCTGCCTCTCTCTCTGTGTCTCTGTCTATCTATCTATCTATCTCTTTGTCTTCTGCTACTGTTGACCCCAAAGACTGGTCTCCGCCTCCCTATCTTCCCCCTCTCTGTCCCCTTTTGTACCTTTCTCTCTCCCCTTCCAATAAAACCTCCTATGTGACCCTTACTGCATGGCATAACAATATGCATTAGCATTTAGGTATTTTGTGTTAAAAAGAAAAAAAAAAGATGAACCGGGAATCTAAGGTGCTATGAGAACTCAGGAAAGCTGCGGAGAAGAGGTCTGTGTGGCTGTGTATTAACGATCCTCTCTTGGGAATGAGATAGCCCTGAGCAAGCAGAAATGTGTGAAGATCAATAGAAGCTACCTAAAGCAGAATGGAAGGCAAAACATTACTGTCAAGAAGTCATGCAAACTGAGAGAAAGCAAGTACAATTGGTGTTCTTAACGCCTTCCTATTCTGAATCAGTGGTACAGCATGAGGCTCTGGGCTCAAAGACTTGGGAGAAAGAACAAAAAGGAAAGAAAGAAGGAAGGGGAAAGGGGAAGAAAGAGAAGGGAAGGGAAACAGAGGGAAAGAGAAAGGGAGGAAGAGAAATTAATACACCCTTGCTGGTTTTCAGTTGTCTTAACAACTTCTCTGTGTGTGTCTAAAATAAAGTCAGCTTCTTTCAGAGCCAGGAGACCTGTGGTGCAGCTAAGATGTGCCCACTGGTTATTTTTTTTGTTTTATTTTTTATCCACATTAATGTATATATCAAGGGGTTCAGTGTGACAATTCAGCACATGATACAGCACACACTGACCACACCCAACCTCTTTACTGCCCCCCCAATATAGTCATTCTTAGTAGCTGCGTCTTCTCCACTTTTCCTGTCACAGCGTATTATCCCATTACTAAACTGGCCGTCTAAAGGTGTCCAGTGGGCCAGACCTATTCTTCAAAGGCACGTGGGTTCATCAAATCACTATGTGGGGAATTCTTGACCCAGGGCCACCTTAAAGACAATACACAGGGTGGAGACACAGCCCAGTTGCTAAAGTGCAGTTGTCTTCTTCTGCCTCGTGAGTTACAGTTTCCATCCGAGTTCAGCCTGCACAGCTCACAGGGTGGAAGCAAGGGTAGTCCCTGGAGCTGGGGTTACGGGGTTATTTTGGACTCCTCTTCATCCACATGCCTACAATAAGTACATACTAAGTACATACATATATACAGGTAGTAAAGGTGTGTTGCTGCGACTTGGGTATACAGACTTACTTATGTGACCTAATTTATTTAGCCTGTGCTTTATGAAACTTTTTTCTGAAGATTTTGGCAGCCAGAGAGGAAGGTGGAGTGACCGTGGGGATGCTAGGAACCAAACAAAGCTTTTTCTCTTTGATTCTGGGTCTTAATCCACTAACCAGCCCTTTCTCTAAAGGTGGTTTTAATGAGTTCTACCTTCGTTAGAAATAAAAGCTGCACGTGTCTAGTTGTACCACAAGGTGTCAGCACAGGATAATTTAATCTTCAAAGGCCTCTTTTTTTTTTTTTTTTTTTTTACAGAACTTTTTTTTTTTTTTTTTTGAGTTAGTGACTCCGAAAAAAAGTGTATAAAGAGCATTAAAATGTGCAGTATAGTGAGGCGTGGTGGACCAGGCCTTTAAATCCCCGCATTCAGGAGGCAGAGGTAGGGGGAATCTCTGTAAGATGGGAGGTTTGTGACCCAGGGGCACGTTACAACTAATCCACAGGGCGTAGACTCAGCTCAGTCGGTAAAGTTAGTTTCTGCTGCAGAACTCACGCATTACTGGTTTATTTCGAACGCCTTTCACCTTTTGCTTTGTGTGCGCCCCCCATACACACACACCTAGCTATCCTCAAATGGCCACATGGAACATTCTTCCACAGACCTAGTATGAATGAATGAATAAAGGATGCTGTACATAGTGAGTTCCAGGCCAGCCAGAGTTCATAGCGAGACCCTGTCTCAATGGAAATAAAATAATAAAACAAAACATGCAGTGTTTGGCGCCCCGCGGATATAGGGTGATCACGCGAGAAATGGCTGGGAGTTTGTTTTGCTTTACGTTTCCTAACCAGACTAGTTCTGAAAACGCTGTGCACGAAATTCCCGAGATGTTGCAATTGAGAACTCAGTCAGTAATTACTGAGTCGACTTCCACTTCCGAGGAGTAGATCCCGCTGACATGTTCTCCTTCTGAAACTTTCGGATACTGACGGTAACTTTCCTGTTGGGTCTTAATACTTGATTGAGTTGAGGATGGGATGAGGAGGTGAAAGTCACTCACAAACTCAGACTCGTTCTCCGGCTGTACTAACCGCTGGTTCTCAGAGAAGCTAATATGCTTCAGCGAGAGCGCTGCCCTGCAGATGGAGACCTGGGATCCCTGCAGTCGCACGCAGGAACAGGAGAAATCCACAACTCCAGGTTCCGTCCAGACCTCATCCCCAATGGCATAGGTCCCGGCAGTCGGTTTTCAGCAAGCCCTCCGGGTGACAGTTTCGCCCGGTGCAGCCCAGGAGTGCTGCAGAGAACTCGCCCGCCGGTGGGAGCCTGAGAAGGGTCAGGCAAAGGCCAAGTCCACGCCCCTGCGGGGGCGCCACCCACGGCCGCCCGAGCGACCCCGGGTGAGCAGACGCCGGCGGCCGGCAGGGGGCGCTGTGCGACGGCGGCCGAGAGGCGGGGTCTGAGACGCAGGCTGCGAGCTGCGGGAACCAGGCTCCGCGTGGGCTGGGAGTCCCAGCAGCGGCTCGCCGTCGGGTCCCACGGAGGAGCGGGTGAGTCCTCGTGTGGTTCGCAGGGAGGGCACTTGCCCCTCGTCTCCACGGGCCCTGAGAAACTTTGCGGGCCTGGGGGAGGGAAGGGGGTGCATGGGGGTGGGAGGTCCCCGCGAGCCGGCAGGGTGCTAGGGGTCAGCGCAGCTCTGAGCCGCCCTCGGCGGCCCCAGCGGGGAGCTGGACTCCGAGGCCCTGGCGCTAGGGCTTGGGATTAGGATAGTGGTCAAGTTTGCAGTCAGGTTGGGTTCAGATAGTAAGTTTGCCAACTTGGCAAAGTCTCCTCGAGTTTGCATCGCTTAATGAATGGCTGGTACCTTGTGCTGTTTGTTTGGGTTTCTGGTTTCCTAGTTAATGGAATTTTTTCATCCTAAATCCTTGGAACACCGGTCTTTCGGGACCAGGGTGGGATTCGGATTTTTCTCCAAAATTGTCAGTCAAGGCTTTTAAAAAGTTACTCTGGTGAAGTCAACTGACTGGCATTTGTTAGACAAATAATTTAAGTACCCTTCGCATTTGGTCTCACTGTTCGGTTAGGGTAGGGATGTGTCCATATCTCAGTATTTAACCAAGGGAATTCATTTTGCATTAATGTCCAGAGCAATGCTTTAAGAATCAACACTGTGAAAAATACCCCCGTCTCCCAATAGTGGACTGTGGCAAAGCCAAAACGCGTTTGAAAGTCCCCAAGATAGGACACACTGCCACCCACAATGTGTTCCAGTCATTGGGTTTCTCGGATTCTAAACCCCTGGCCATAAACATGAGTCAGTTGGGCTGTGTCAATATTTAGCAGGAACAGCAAATTTGCCATCCTAGTTCAGCAAAACAGAAATCATGTCAGAATCTGTGCTTCACTTCTTAATGGGGAAGAGTTGGTGGGATACTGGGTCAAATCCTGGAGTGCTTGACACCTCCCTCTGCGCTGTTTCCTGCTGAGATGGCTGGGCAGTCTGACATAACCTTTCCTCCTGCCGAACTTCAATTATGTGTTGACCTGCTGTCTAATGGAAACCAGCATGTTTTATTTAACTGGTATTTTGTTTTCCTGGTTTCTGGGCACGCAGTCAGCAATCACCCTTACTGACATGGGCGTTTTTTTCCTTGGCCTTGCTCCTCAGCATGGTACCGTACCGTGCAAACAAGTGGCTGGGCACCTCCAGGGGCCACGCTGGCTCTCTACCCAGAATCTCCATGGAGTGGTTCTCTGTCAGCAAGCACTGGCATCTCGCTGCATGGCACAGGACTGGGTATAGAAAGGAGTTCCCATCCATTTCCTCTGCTTCCTTTCCCGAGCCACCATCCGTCTGTAAACCATTGTCCTTTAAAAGGGAGGCACCGCATGACCACACAGTTCTTGCTGGAGTGCTTGCCTGTCCTAAACCAAAGATTTTTGAGGCCTTCTCATTTAACTTTGTATTTTCCTCATCTGACGCCATTGTTCACAGTGCGTTTCGTGAATTAACAGTGAGCAACTATAGATTTATGCATACGTCACTTTCTTTACCATACCGAACCGCTGGAGTTAAAATACGCTCTAACCTTGGTCAGTCGTTTCTTGTGTTTTATCACACGCATGCTCCTCTAGTCCTAGACACCCCTCCCAAACTACTCTTTATAATATGGATTAAACTTACCAAATGGCATGAAAGTCCCTGAAAGACTGTAAGTCTCATTCTTTTCCCTCTTTAGTGTCTATGTGAGCTTGGCCTTCTAAGTGCTTCTTGAATGGCGTATACTTTACCCAAAAAATTTCAAATAACAATGGTCACCACCCGACTCAAACAAACCAAAAAAAGGGGGGGGGGTATTAAGATGTATTTTAGAAATCCAAGATTTGGTCTCAGGTACTTTAAACTATTAAATACTTAAACTATTGCCACCAGCCACCAGGACTGGTCCTTCTTTATTTCTTACTTCGTTTTTCTGTGTTGGCGTTCTTGTGTTCAAATGAAGAAGTCTTCCAGCTTACACAGAGGGTGGCATGGTAGTTTTATACAACCCTAACTTTGTAACATGGAGGGTCCTGTTTGTTGTTGGGGTTTTGTCCCGCCCAGTACCCCACAACTGTTTAGCCCCAAAGAAAATCACACATAGGTCTCCATAAATTATAAGCTGATTGGCCCATTAGCTCTAGCCTCTCACTGGCTAACTCTCACATCTTGATTAACCCATTTTCCTGATCTATGTTAGCCATGTGGCTCAGTACCTGTTTTCAGTGGGGCAGATCACATCCCGCTGCTTCGGTGGTCTGGGCAGGAGTTGGAGGAATCAGCTTCCTCCTTTCCAGAATTCTTCTGTTCTCCTTGCATCATTTCTACTTCCTGTTTGGCTTTCCCACCTATACTTCCTGCCTGGCCAATCAGCGTTTATTTAAAACATGATTGACAGAATACAGACAATTCTCCCACACCATAACTTAACAAAATGTTAAGAGTATCTCTGTATTCTCTGTCTCCTGGAGAGGATATTAGAAGAGGACTTAATGTGCCCACTAGACTTGGCTCCATCCTAGCTACTAGGTGTGATCACAGGAATTAACCCTGGGTCATCTTCCTGCAACCGGAAGTCTAATAGTCACATAAGCACAATAAGGTATCTTGAGGATAGGATGCAAGTTTGAATAGGACACTCATTCAGGCTTCGTATGTCTGTGCTTGGCCTGAGGATGATGTTCTATAACGCACTTACTGCTTGAGGTGGCAGCATGTGCCTCTAGTTCCGGCGCTCAGGAGGCAGAGACAGGTGGCTTGCTGAGTTTGAGGCCTGCTCCATATAGCAAGCTCCAGGTCAGGTAGCATTGTATAGTGAGACCCTATCTAGAAAGTGTACGACATATATATTTACTATTTTCCTGGGATTCAGTGAATGGCCTTCCATGAGGCCATGTGTGGAATTTCCCACTTGTGTTACCACACCAAGACTCCAGTTTTGCACTTTGGGGCAATTTTGCGGTTTTTGCAGGAGGGATGCTCAACCTATATTCTCATCGTGAATGTTTCAAGACAGGTAATTCTGGAAATATTTCCCAAAGTGCCTTAACTATAAAATGATGGTGTTAAGGAAAGGTGATCCCTCTGTTCTTTGTAAAGTCTTGACCTTTAAAACATGGAAAATATTCTGAGTATTAACAACCTTTTCCTGGAAATAACTTTCCACTTAGTAGAGTGTTCCAGGTGGTCCAGACTTCCAAAGTGTTCGGAATGATTTCCAGCAACATAGCTGTTGTGTGTCTAACTTGTTTTCCTCTTGCATTTGACAAAGTACAAATTGCAGGTGTAATCCCCTAGGAGTGATGTTAGAGCTCACTCAGAATAATGGATAATATATGAAGCATGATTAATAAAAACTCAGACAGAAACTGGGGTTAACCTAAAGATTTGTAAAACAAAGCAGCCAGCCACTGGGTCTTACCTTGACCTCAGTCCCAAATGGCGATCATACCTCTGCGAATCCTCAGAATGAGACTGTGTCTGAGAGCTGTCTCCTCCCATTTTATACTCCTCTCTAGGGCTGGGATTAAAGGCGTGCACCACTACTGCCTGGTTTCTATGGCAACCTAGTGTGGCTACTAGGATTAAAGGTGTATGTCACCACAGCCTGGTCTGTAAGGGTGACCAGTGGGGCTGATTAACTCTCAAATCTTCAGGCAAGCTTTATTTATTAAAATACAAGTGAAATGACACTATAAATATGACATCCTGCTTCTCCTGGATAAAAAAGGCTGAACCAAGCCTGGATTGGTTTCATGAAAGCCCTTAAGGAATAATTGTCTTTGTTTGGGAATTTTTTTTTTTTTACTAGTTTCTTCTCCATGGAGTTGAATGCAACTCAGCACCCCACTGGAAATGGATGAGCAGACATGTTTTACCAACAGGACTTATTCAAAGGGCACTCTGACAATACAATACAACTTGAAGCAACTGTTGGGATTCACCCTAATAATCTTGTCTCTTCCATTCACTGCCTTCGGGAACATTTCAAATTACAAATAAGTGAATTATTGTCTCAGATTTCAACCCTAGAAAGCCTGTGAAACATGTCTTCCTGAAGTCCTGTATCAGCTACCTCAAGCCTCCATTGATAACATTATTGTCAAAACTGAAGACTGCATTCCTGATTCCATTTACCCTTAAGGGGAATGAACTTTCTTCTAACTGGGAGTCTGGAGTTAAGTCTTCTTGCAGTAAAAAGTAACAGCCAATCCTTTGTGTTTCCTATAGGTATAGGCCATCCATTGAACAGACAGTTGGCATCAATGCTTCGCCACTCTCAATGTCCAGCCTTTTCACTATTTGACCCTTAGTTGTACCTATCATCTCTTATTCTAAAGTGAATAATATTATTCCATCAAACAAAATTATCATAAATGGAATAGACTTTTTTTATTTTCCTAGGTAGCTGAAGCCATACTATTTTGTAACATTCATGGAGATCGGTAAAAATATTACAAAGCAAGAAGAACTTTGGAAAATGAAGCCTGAGAGAAATCTGGAAGATGACACCTACTCGGTAAAATAATGAGTATTATCGCTAATAATTAAAATCTATGTACACTTCAAGCGTATTCTGAACCTGCTAGTGTTGAGAAAGTGCATTCCATTCTCGTCTGCTGGTCTCTGCGCTCGGGTGCCTGTGGCTGAAGCTGGCCTGAGTCGGAGCAGTGTGGTATGATTGAGCTGACTTGACTGGCTAGCTGGGCTTAGCTGAATAGCTGTCATTGGGTCCCTGAAAATCTGAGGTCTTGTATTTCTGTATGAAGTGAAGGAACTGGACTAGATCATCTCCAGAGTCCTTTCCAACACCTCTGCTTCTAAGTTTAAAAACAAAAATTACGATGTCCCATTTACTGGTGGTTTTGTAAACATTTTCATAGGCACTGTGGGAGCTCACAGGAGAGACCTCCACGTGGACGATGACTCAGAGTTTAAACAGATAAATCTTTTCATGCACAGAATCATTTAAAGGGTTAGATGTTTCTTACTACAACATTTGAAAAAGTGTTAGGAATTTTCGGTTCCAAATACTTACGTTTTTAAAATATGTAAAATATGTAAAATGCAATTATAATAGATTATTGATTATTCAAAGGGGGGAAAAGATTAAGAATTACAAGCATACATCCTTCAAAAATAACCCCGTAAGGCAAATCATTTTCATTTTTCAAGTAAGCGCTCTTACTTGCTGTACCCTAATTTTCACTCTTAGCCAGAAAATTGTTCTCGGCTAATTCAGGTGAGCTGTGTTAGCACGCAGGCGTTACCGAGGTTATTTCCTTCCACTGTGGAATAATGAGAAAGACGCTGGGTAGAACCGTGCTTTCTGACTCAGAGCAGAATCCAGATGAGTTAGAGAGGTCCTTCTCCATCACCGGGAGTTATGGGATCTGCAGGAAATGCAATGAGTGAGATAAACCGTGACCGTCGGAACAAGCAGTGGAGGCTTCTCCTTCGGCACACGTCGGGCTACGAAAATGAAGACTGGAGCCAGCGGTTCATGAAGGAACACAATATGGAACACTCTATGGTCCTAATTTGAGTTTTGTAAGTTTGTTGCTGTGTGTCCTTTGTGGAAATGACAAATGATTCAGCCCGCCTTCTTTGAGATTACTGACTACCCGAAACGCGGTGGACAGAGCGGTGTGCACTTGCGCGGAAGCCCCAAGTCGTGCTTTTCTCTACTGGTAACGACCCTATTCCTCCTGATCCTCTGCATCTGAATTATTGAATTTACCATCACTGCTCTGCATAAGTGCCCAGGAGCCAACAGAAAGATTGCAGAACACCTAATATGATATACTAGTTTGCTGGTTTTGCCAAAGAAAATTGGAATTTTTTAAAAAAAACGATTTTTTTTCGTTTTGGCTTCTTAAGATTGTGCCATTATTTCAAATCTTCACGAGACATGGCTATCGACGCTTTAGTGTGTCGGCACGTATCCTTTTGTTTTAAAGAGAACTGGAACCCAGTTTGGTGGCAACACTCACACAGAACCTGGCGGGTGAGTTCAGCTATGTGGGGAGCAGAAGGTCTGCCTGAGCTACAGGAGAGTCTGTCTCAGACACAAAGGAGGAAGTACACCGGTGTCTCGAGGTGCACCTTTGGTCAGTCATACCCAGACTGTACCATAGCTGAGTGGTATTCCCAAGCAAGTCTCTGAGTGCCCTATTCACTGAGAAGCACAGTGGTGGAGCAGGAAGTTAGAGTGAAAGAAATCCATTGCTTTTTTCCATTAAGATGTCCCCTTTCTTTCTTTTGTAGTCTCGGGACACGGGAGAGACCAGCATGCTGACCAGACAGGCGCATTTGCCGCACATGGTCCACGTCGACGCATTTGACTGCCCCTCTGAGCTTCAGCACACGCAGGAATTCTTCCCAAACTGGCGCTTGCCAATTAAAATCGCTGCCATTGTATCATCTCTGACCTTCCTGTACACTGTTCTGAGGGAAATCATTTACCCTTTAGTAACGTCCCGTGAACAATATTTTTATAAGATCCCAATCCTGGTCGTCAACAAAGTCTTGCCGATGGTCGCCATCACTCTCCTGGCTCTGGTCTATTTGCCAGGCGTCCTAGCCGCGGTCGTGCAGCTTCGCAATGGAACCAAGTACAAGAAATTCCCCCCGTGGCTAGATGGGTGGATGCTGGCAAGGAAGCAGTGCGGGCTCCTCAGCTTCTTCTTCGCTGTGCTGCACGCGCTCTATAGCCTGTCTTACCCAATGAGGCGCTCCTATAGATACAAGCTGCTCAACTGGGCATACAAGCAGGTAGGAGGTGTCACGCTGCGAGGTTAACAAACTGAAAGGTTCAAATGACCTAATGAATTAACACCCTCTTGTTGTACTAACGGTAGTATCCCAGGCCCCTGTTGACACTCTTAAGAGATTATCCTTCATTTTTAAAAATTGTTACTGTGATTTCAAGAGCATCTGTCATCTTATATCAAGGAGTATTTTTTATCTGAAAATAAATAGCAATTTCAGTATAAAAATACTTTGCAAAGACAGGGTCATATTTCGCTCTTGGCTTCCTGGCAGTGTGACCTTGCAAGGACGAGTTGTTTTACCCTCTGCTTGTTCCCAGAGTTCCCACGCACTCTCTGGTTCTGTCAGAATTAGCCATCAGATAAGCCCACTCATCAACAGGTCTGGCTGCGTTCCTCTTTTACTTAGGTTCAGCAAAACAAAGAGGATGCCTGGATTGAGCATGATGTTTGGAGAATGGAGATTTACGTGTCCCTGGGGATTGTGGGACTGGCCATCCTGGCTCTCCTGGCTGTGACGTCTATCCCGTCTGTGAGTGACGCTTTAACATGGAGAGAATTTCACTATATTCAGGTAAGTGATGTGTAAAGGTGACCCTAGAATATTAAATATATTGATTTATTCTAGAAAAATAATGTTTTCCAGTAGTAAAGATCCCATACTCTTTCCTTTAATAATGTTTTCTTAGTTTTTCTTTGGCTTCTTTAAATTGTCGAATGCATTTTGGAGACATAAATAAGAGACATTACTAAAACAAAAACATTGTTTCTCACATCTAAAACATTTTAGACAATTTGCTGCTCCCATCCAATAACTATAAATATGTTTGAGGAATGTCAACTGTTTACTAGTCTCCCCAATAAAAACATTATTTTTTCTATCCTTTGACTTTAGGAATGCCTTTGAAGACACATAGTTTTATGCTCTCTAGAAGAAAAACAAATCTTCCTCTAAAGTACAAAATTTTATTGACTGAATGTATTCTGATACCTAATTTTTTTTTGATAGAATCTCACACTTATACCCAGGCTAGCCTGGATTTTATTATATAACCCAGGATAGCCTAGAACTTACAGGCATGAGCCACCACACCTAGTTCTGTTATGTCATTTTTAAAGATGCTTTTTCTAAGTTACAGTTAAATTAGCTTAATCACTTGAACTTTCAAAATATTTCTGGAATTCAGAATCCTGTCATGAACTCACACAGCTTCTAGGTAGAGGCCCACACTTAAAAAGGCTCCATGCAGCAAGAGCCAAGGAGCTCAACTTAATTCAGTCATAAGGAACTGGGAAATGTTTTCAAGTCATATTCTTAACTTGTATGGTTAGGTAGTTCTGGAGATTTCCCCACAGTGAGGTGTTCTCCCCGTCTCTTCCACATGTCCATATGTGTCTCCGAGAGACAGCACGGCCTTCTGATAAGGCCACAAAGTTTCTTTTATTCCCACATGCCTTAGACTCAGTAGCACATTCTCTCAAAAAAAAAAAAAAATGTTTTCTGATTTTCATGTTCAGCCAGTAACCATGGAGTTTTGTCTCCCTCGTGAAATACTTTCTGACATTGCTTTTCTGTCACGTGTGCACTGAGCAATACTTCTCGGTGTTAATCTGAATCTGGGCATTGCACCTTGGCAAGTCCTCTCTGGCGGCTGGGGCTGTAAGTAGATAATACCCGTTTGGGGAAGTTAATCCACACACTCAAGAGCATTTCCAGTTACTAACCTAGAAACTTCACCTGGAGTCGGAGACTTGGTAACACTACCAATTTACCTACACAGTTCATATACCAAAAATAAAAATCTAGCTGTTTAATTGAGGGATAAGATTACAGCTGAATAGTTGAGATATTTTCATTTTGTCAGACTAATGATCATTTCCAATAATAGTTATCTAGAAGAATCTTGCCAGAATGTCTCAAAAGTCTATCAGTGGACAGCTCTGGACAGCTTTCTCTCTGTTTAATGTCAAAGCGTTTCAACAAATTGAAGTTGTTCTTCATATCTTTATTTTGTCCAATCACTGAAATGATTCCCGGTGTTTCTTCCATCCTATCAGAATATATAATGTATTAAAAACATAGAAATCTATGAGTTCAAGGCCACCTTAATCTACATAGTGAGCTCCAGACTAATGGGAACTACACAGGGAGACCCTGTCTCAAATATATATAAAGAACAAGTGTTTTGACTGGCCTCAGGTTTTCCTCACTACTTTTTCTAGCGTCCTCTAGAACTTACAATTGTGATATCAATAGACCTTCTCTTATGTACGTGGACCAGTGATTTTATTCCTCTTCTTTTTTTCCAGCATAGGGCATCAGAAAAAGAAAAAGAAAAAAAGTGGTAGATTTGCAGACCTTGTAACAAACATCAGGATGATTGCTTTCTATGTGAAGGGAAACCTCTACAATTATTTTCCCAGCCTCCTTTACTAAAACCTTTTGCTTGGCATTAAAAAATGATTCATTGGAAAACTGTACACATACACACCACATAAAGTCCATTTTCTATTCATTTACATAATTAGAATAACATCAGTTGATAAAGATCACTGAGGTCAGATTGATTTTTTTTTACAGTATCCTTTAGTCAATCAGCAATATTCATTGAACACCTAACATGTTCAAAATATTGTGTTGCTCCCACCAGGACCCTGCTGTAAGACAGTGTCCAATTTTATTTATTGCCTGGTAGGCAGAGTTAATATAAAATCAATAAGACAAAATGTCATAATGAATCCGGGATGTTGACCCGTTACAGAGTGCTCAGCTAACACGCACGAGGCCCTGGTTTTGAGCCCCACTGCCACCCATAAAGCAGAAACACCTTAAGAAAGCTGTCTTAAGCAGAATGGCAGAGAAGGCACAGAGAGAGCTGTTGACCACTTCCTAAGAGAAAGATAGTGACTTTTCAACTTACCTTAGAAACAAGAACAGTTACCCAAAAGTCGTGTGATGAGAAAGGTGTGGATGGACCGTGTTGAGAATATAGCATTAGATAAATGGAAGGATTTCCAAGCAGCAGAACAAGTCCCAAGGGGATAGGGGTGGAATCGACTATTACTGAATCAACCTTTACTTAGGATCACAATGTATTTTCTTTTGCAGAGCAAACTAGGAATTGTCTCTCTTCTTCTGGGCACAGTGCACGCTTTGGTTTTTGCCTGGAATAAATGGGTGGATATCAATCAGTTTGTGTGGTACACGCCTCCGACTTTTATGATAGCTATTGTCGTTCCAACTGTGGTCCTGATATGTAAAGCCGTGCTCTCCTTGCCCTGCTTGAGGAGGAAGATAATGAAGATTAGATGTGGCTGGGAAGATGTCAGAAAGACAAACAGGACAGAGATGGCCTCCAGGCTGTAGAACTTCTCAATACTGATGTGTTTTATTATAAACATCTCACGTTTGTGTTATTAATAAGTATTAATAAAATGAATACTTCAGGATAATGCTTTAGTTTGTATTACAACTGTTGTGTATTTGGTGTGTGTGTGTAAGCACATGGGTGCCAGGGCGTATATGTGGATGTCAGTTCTCTTCTAAGACACGCGAGGCCAGGAATCGAACCCACGTCGCCGGGCTTGTCGGCAGGCACTTTCCCCTGTTGAGCCATCTCACTCCCATGGGCCCCACCTCAGCATCTTATTGTATCTGTGCACGGGTTGTGCATTTCGAATTTGTTCATGTTCTGACAGATGTGATTCAAAAAAATCTGAACCAGTCTTTAGCATATTTTCTCTATGTGGAATAGCTAAACAACCAAATTATCAGATTTATCATTATAAATTTTTAAATGCCTTGAAATACAAGTCTTTACCATCTATTTTTAGATTTGTTATGTGTATGAGTGTTCGCTTGTATGTATGTGTATATATGTATGTATGTATGCCTGTGCCCTCAGAGGCCAGGAGAGCAAGTCAGATTCCGTAGACTGGAGTTAAGAGGTAGTTGTTAGCCACGGTGCGAATGCTCAGAGCTGAACCCATATCTTCAACAAGAGCAAATGTTTTAACTACTAAGCTAGATCTAAAAATTTGGTGTTTTAATAGTTACATATTTATGGAATACAGAAGACTATTCCAGTTCATGCAGACAATGAGTAAGGGTGAAATCAGAGCAGCTAACATGTAATAGTTGTATATGTCTATGAGGTATATTATGATTATTGTTGAAGAACTTTATTCTGATATAATCAGGTTTATTTATGAAACATCTGACTTAACAACAGAGATGTGTCTACAGAAATAGAGCAACAGAGGAATATCGCATATGCATCCAGCCAAAAAAGTAACTCCATTATCCAGAAGAAAAAGTAAATTTCATCATTTCTACCTTAGTTGGGGGCAGGTCAGTAGAACTTACTTTCATAGTTTGACAAAAATACTCCAGGAGTGAGTTCCTGAAGGACAACCAGCCGAGACTTATCCATGTGTGGCGTCTGTCCCGCCAGTCAACCAGCCAAGACTTATCCACGTGTGGTGTCTGTCCCGCCAGTCAACCAGCCAAGGTTGCTGGTACCTGCAGCCCCAGGGGCACAGCAAGATGTCACAACCCTTAGCACCAAGAAGCAGCAGCTGAGCTCCAGCCATCCAACCACCATAGAGGATTCCGGCCCAGCTGCAATCAATGGGACCACAGAGAGGCCTGCAAGGGTGCAAGGGCAACTACTCAATTCTGGCTGGCTTGGGTTTAAAATTCCATCTCTGTAACAGGCAACAGTGGGGCTCCTCTGAAATAGCAAATACCTACCTCCTCGATTAAAAAAAAACCACTGGGTCTCACTATGTAGAGCAGGCTGTCTTTGAATTCAGAGTTCCCCCACCTCTGCCTCTCAAGTCTTGGATTAATGGCTAATGCTACCACACAGGCTCAGGAATTCTTGTGCTAGGCAAAGGGAGGCTACAGCAGCCTCAGACTTAGGTGTGAGTCAGAGGATCTCTAGACTCCATTTGTAGTTCTTCCAAGGCTTTTTACAGCGATTCAACAGTGTTGTTACAAGCAGAAGAAACAGTAAAAGTTGTCTTTTAAAACAATATTAGTGAACCAACCCTGAGAACGGGAGTGTGGGAAGTCTGGCCGGACCCTTATCTGCCATAGGGTGCTGTGGGCAAGGGAGAGAATCCCCTCCCCCAAAGCCCTGCTCTTTGCTTCCTGTGGTGGAAGGGAAAACTGGTCCTGAGGGCCTGAGAGCGGAGAGCAGGCCCTGCACCTTGCTGGGCAGCACTGTGGAATCTACACCTTTGGTGGAGAGTGAGAAAGTGCGGGGGGGGGGGGGGGGGGGGGGGGGGGTCCCCCCCCCCCCCGGGAAGGAGGGAGGAAGGGAGAGTTGGCCCCACTAGTCCTTGCCTGTCACGCAGTGGTGCTGGTGAGGGAGAGATGCCTCACCCCCTCACCACCTAAGGCAGTTGGGAGAGCTGGCCCCAGGGTCACAAGAGTAGAAGAGCTGCCCCTGCCCCTCACCAGCTCCAGTGCTTGGGAGAGGGGCCCCTGCACCTTCCCTGGGAAACTCAGTGGAGCGGGCCCTGGTGGTGTAGGGTCGGTGAGCCAGCCCTGAGGGCTCGAAAACAAGAGACCCAGCCACGCCCCTTGCTCCTTGCTCCTAGGGTGAACTTGATGGAGGAAGGTCATTGGTTAATTATAATAAACCAACTGCTTGGCCACATAGCTTAGAACGTAGATGGGAGGAGTAAACAGAATAGAATTCTGGGCGGAAGAGGAAGTGAGGTCAGACTCTGCTCTGCTCCCGGACAGACCAGACAACTCTGCTCTCTGGAGCAGAGACACCACATGCCATGCTACACCCGCCCAGGATGGACGGAGGCTAGAGTCTTCCCGGTAAGCGCACCTTGGGGTGCTTACACACATCATTAGAAATGGGCTAGTCCAGGTGCGAGAATTAGCCTGTAAGGGCTAGAGTTCATGGGCCAAGCAGTTCTTAAATGAACACAGTTTGTGTGTTGTTATTTCGGGCATGAGCTAGGCAAGCGGCCGGGGTGTTGGGGACGCAGCCCCGCCGCCGCTCCTATTTCAACAATGCTGGAGAGCTCACCCTATAGTGGTGAGGATGGAACAGAAGCTGGCCGAGAGGGCAACACTACAACCACCCAGGTCCAGAACTAGGGTTATGAACAGGCCCACCCCAACATGACCCATCTATATCTAGGCAGCTTGTGAAGGAGCTGGTCCTGCAGACCCAAAGCTGCAGGATCTCCACAACACAGGGCAACAGCAGGATACCCAAGAGAAGTCCCAGTGAGGGCCCAGTATGGATAGCATAGTAGAAACCAGAGGCCTCGAACCAGACCAATGACTTTCAATGACCACTTGCAAGTCAAGATATTTGGACTAAAGGGTTTACTGTGTGACTCACTATGTCACACAATAACTTCCACGATGAGATTTTTCTTCCTTCTCCATTTTCTCTTCTCTTAAATTTTATGTATCAAAAGTTAAAACAGCCACCACCACCACAACACTGGGGCTGGGCAGATATCTCAGTTGGTGAAGTGCTTGCTGCAAAGCCCATGGGCCTGAATGTGCATCCCCAGCAGCCATGTAAGAAGCCAGGTACAGTGTGCACCTTCTGTAGTCCTAGTGCTGAGGAGCTGGAGACAGGAAGATCCCTGGGACTTGAGGGCCACCTAGACTAGCAAAACCCACAGACTCCAGGTTCACTGAGAAAGCCTGAACTATCTCAAGAACTAAGATAGAGCACTCAGGAGGCAGAGGCAGGTGGATCTTTGTGAGTTCGAGGCCAGCCTCGAGAGCTAGTTCCAGGACAGGCTCCAAAGCTACAGAGAAACCTGTCTCAAAAAAAAAAAAAAAAAAGAAAAAGAAAAAAAAAAACAAAGAACTAAGGTGGAGATCAGGTGAGAAAGACACCCCACATACACACACACACACACACACACACGTGCACGCACACACACGCACGCACATGCACCTACTCAAAATTGTTTTCAACAAAAGAAGGTATCTGCCTTGGTGTAGTCCTGAGTTTCTTTTTCCTCAAAAATTATTCATTAACACTTAGCAGACAGCAAGCCAGGGGCAGCAAAGAATGCACAAGACAGAAAAGGCCAAATTCCTTCTAAGTCTCAGAAGGCCAGCCAGCTGTAGTAGCTCACTGGATTCTGAGCATACTGTGATCTCTAAGGAACAGCTCTTTAGAGAGGCCGAGTCACGTGGCGTGAGGTTGAAGCAGAACACGCGGAACTTGAACTGGATGCTGAAGCTGAAGTAGAAAGACATCAGGGAGAACGGGAGGCCAGGTGAGGTCTGATAGGTTAGAAAGTCTAGTTCAGACCTGCTGGAGCCAAGCGTCTGAAGAAACAACACTCTGGAGAGAGACAAAGGCCACACAGGCTATTAGGATCATTTTGTGACGTGAAGCTGTTTGTACCACAATCCTTCCGGGTCTCAGGAAACCACCGCAAAGCCGCAAGCAGGGGCTCAGCACCTTTAGAACTGCATTTTAGAAAGATGTGGGAAGTACCGGGTGACGTTAGGTACACCAGTCATTTCCCCCATTGCTATAATCACATATGTGACAAGAGAAAACTCGAGAGAGGAAGTCTCACCATTTTAGGGGGCTCTTGGTGAGCTTAGCATATGGGGCTAGGACCACCAAAGTCACCCTAAAGCTGTAGATTCGGGTTGCTTTTCCTCATTGGGTTCTTGTCTTGAAAACTCAAATGAGATTCATGACTCATGGATGTTAAGTCTTTGAAATAATTTTATTACATGAAGTTTAAGAGAAAGAAGAAAGGCAGATCTTTTGTAGCTGGAGGGATCCCCGAAAGTGGAGTACCATTGATGTTGCTGTCCTAAACTTAATAAGGCATGGCTGGATGGAGGAGTTGGGATGAACTGGTCAGGCCAGTTTCTATTCCAGGTATCCAGGCCACGTAGTTTCAATCACAGTCTCTGTATGGCTCCAGGAGAGGGGAAATAGAGGGACAGACCAGACCCCTAGCCCCTTCCTGACACCCCAAGACCAGGGCAGAACCAGGCAGTTCGACAAGCACTTCTAGCATCTCTGATGAGACCTGAGGACAATTCTGGCACTTCTGACACTTTTAGTCAAGAAAGAAACTGGTCACTTTGAGGAGTCTCTTTGTGCCTGGCTAACGGCTGACCATGAGCCCAGACTCACTCACTTCCCTAAGCAAATCTTCTACCCTATTCAAAAGCTGTCAACCCAGGCCTATCCTCTCAAATACTTGCTCAGTGAGCATCTTATCATTTCGGGGAGGATGACTAAAGCCTGTTCAAATGATGTCTTTACTATTCTAATGGTCCGTTTAGCATCATTTTATGATAATAAGAAACGAATGTATGACGCTGACATGACTCTCTCTCCTAG